TACACTAACGGTGGGAATGTAAATTAGTACAGCCGCTATAGAAGACAGGATAGATATTTCTCACAAATCTAAAAATAGAACTACCATATGATCCAGCAATGCCACTCTTGGGTATTTATCCAAAGGAAAAGAAATCAGTATATCAAAGGATATCTGTATCCCCCTGTTTATTGCAGCACTACTCACAATAGCAAAGATACGGAATGGACCTAAGTGTCCATCAATGAAGGAATGGATAAAGAAAATGCGGTATATATACACAATGGAATACTCTTAGGGCACAAAAAACAATGAAATTGAGTAATTTGCAGCAACATGGATGGAACTAGAGGTCCTTATGTTGAGTGTAATAAGCCAGACACTGAAACACAAATATCACATGTTCTCACTCGTATGTGGGAGCTAAAAAAGTTGATCTCGTGGAGGCGGAGAGTAGAATGATAGACACCAGAGACTGGGAAGGGTGTGTTGGGAGGAGGATAAAGAAAGGTTGGTTAATGGGTACTAACAAACAAGTAAACAGAAGGAATAAGTTGTGTTCGTTAGCAGGGTAGGGTGACAATTGTTAACAACACTGTATTGCATATTTCAAAATGGCTAGAAGAGAGAACTTGAAATCTTCCCAACACATAGAAATGATGAATACTTAAGGCGATGGATACTCCAGATACCCTGATTAGATCATGACATGTTCTATGTAATGCATGTAACAAAATAACACATGTATCCCATAAACACGTAAAAACATCATATGTCAATAGAAACAAATGATCTTCAATCCACACACACAAAAAAACATGCTTTCCCGTGGCACGTCACCAGCTGTCACACTATTGCTTAGCCCTGAGTCTGAATGTCTACACGGCACATCTTATCTACTAACACTGAACCCACTTCTGATTCAAGATTATAACCTGATCTGCTCTGCCCACCTAAGGTCCAGTCTCCTAATCTGTCCTGAGACACGTTTGCTCCTGTCCTCTGTTTCGGAGATGTCTTCCTGAGAGCCGCAGGGTCAGGAACTTGCGCTTCTCAACAACACCTTCATTCAAAGCCACGTGCAATTGTGATAATAAATATTCATTCAATGCTACCATGTGATTTTTCAGAGACTTTATTCTATAGTAATAGAATATTATTTTGCCTCAAGAGATCCTCCTGTCTTGGCCTCTCAGAGTGCTGGGATTGCAGGCCTGAGCCACAGTGTCCAGCCCTGGAGTAATACAGTATTATTTTGTAATGACAATACTGTTCTATATTATTCTGTACACTCTGTGTTAATATTCTGTAATGATAATAGATATTATTGAGTTTATTTTACAAATATATAAACTGAGTAACAAAAATGAAGTGACTTGCTCATGATGACACAGAATTAAAAAACAGACTCCAGAATAAAATTCAGTTCTATTAAAACACATGTGGCCTGCTCTTTCCACATTCATCTTCAACAGTTCCACCCCAATCCAGGACATTTCTTGTATTCTCTCTCATTCTTTCAGTCTTAATGAAACATCTGTATAGCCTTAAACACCGTATCTACTGAAAAGAGAAATTCTTTTAGTGATGTCAACATAAGAACTTGACCTATATTTAAAATTTTCACTCTTTTTTGAACTTATTAACAATTCCATCAGAGTTGTTAAAGGAAAATAAATTTTTTTAGCTCTTTTCACCTGATATAAGTCAGTGCCTAATTGCAATCTAAATATCATCTATCTATATCAATCTATCTACCTATCTCTACCATTTTACATTTATAAGAATGCTAATTCTTCTGTGAATAGTTTAATTGGTGTAGTACCATATTTTATGTGATTTAAATTGGCTCGGTATATCAAAACATATAAAAATAAAATAACTAATTTTCATGTATTTCTTCCGATTGTGTCTAAATGGAACTTTAGAAATATCTCTCCTCAACCTTGTAGTTTACCTGACTTTCTCAAAGTTAATACTTGATTTTGTTTTACTTCCGTAAAGAACTCCAGTGAAAGCAATTGAACATGAACTCCTGAAGTGCTGTCTCCTAATAATTGACTAACAGCTGGGCGCGGTGGCTCACGCCTGTAATCCTAGCACTCTGGGAGGCCGAGGCGGGTGGATCGCTCGAGGTCAGGAGTTCAAGACCAGCCTGAGCAAGAGTGAGACCCCATCTCCACTAAAAAGTAGAAAGAAATTATCTGGACAACTAA